GGCAGTACCCACCTGCTGAAGATGTCTCCTGAGACCTTCTGCAGGTACTGCAGGGCATCGGCCACCTGCTGCATGGCTTCCTCTCGCCGCAGGTCCGGCTGGATGAGAGGGACGGCGTAGGTCTGGCCGGTCAAGGAGTGCTGGGTGCTCACCGCGGCCATGGTGCCTGTGGGTGGGACCCGGAGCATCGGGACTGTGGGCTGGGAGTGGCCGTGTGACGGACTAGGCAGTGGCCAGGGACCCCAGATACAGGCGAGTCCAGGCCAGCGTGAGGAGGGCCCAAGAAAGGGTAGCGCAGGGGCGGAGGACAGGAAGGAAAAGCACACCCGAGAGCCGTAAGGCAAGTAAGAGCTCACATTCTGAGTCTGATTCTTTCCATCCCCCGTAGGGAGCATTTCTATATAAATGTTGGGGACACATTTCACAATTAAAACATGACTATAGCTGTCTCAGGCCCAGGGTTGCCTGGCCCGAGAGAGTCGGCTCTGGGGTGCAGAAACAACTCCCTTCTGCCTCTGATCACAGCCGAGGCTTCAAAGGCCCGTGATTCTGAGACTCGGCATCAGCTGGAGACCCTGGTTCCTTGAGAGCCCAGCAGTAACACAAAAGAGAAAGCTTTCACCGGGGCAGGGCGGGAGGAGTTCCTCAGCCCAGCTCATCCCACCTCCGAGGCGGGACCCCTCCCCTTTCAGCCTTCATTTCATCAGCAGATCTGCAACCGCACAGGACCAGACAGGAGTCACTACCGTGCCCGAAGTTACCCCACACTCCCCCAGTTACTGCGTCCGCCCAATAAGTAGCGGCCGGGGTGCAGCGTCTTCATCTTTGCCCACTCAGGCACTGATCCCCAGCCCCGGGGTGCTTTGAAGTTGCTCAGGTCCCTGCTGTCTGTCTTGAGCCCTGGCCGGCCCCCTTTCTAGGCAGTCGGAGGAAACTGGCCTCCGATCATCTCCCACTCTGGAACCTGAAAACTGCCCCTGCTCCTTAAGAAGTCTTTAGTCCCGGGGATAAACGTAGGCGCCACTCAGCCGGCCCGCGTGATCGCCAGGCCCCAGCTGCTCCTTGGCGCCTCCCATGGCCCGCGGGCTCTCCCTTCTCCCCTCGGGGCTCCCCACACTCTGCAGCCAGCATCTTGCTGCTCTCCTGCTTCTTCTGCAGCATCCAGCTCCCCCCGCCCCGGACAATCAGGCTTCCAGGAAAGCCGG